ACCGTCGGTCCCGAGATTACCGAATGTAACCGTCGCGAGATTAGCGGGACTACCACCCATAAGTAGAGGACCTCACTCCCCGATCAGGTACGATGATTTCTGGCCTCGAACTAAACTGGGAATCCGACCTATACTGACTTGATCGTCGGAGTGCTCACCTTTTTGTGCAGGTCCCCCCAAGCGTTCAGGTCGGTCCGGAGGCCGAGTTCGAGGTGCAATCTGGAACACACTGTTGTGCACATCTTTGCATAAACAATTACCATATAATAAAATCATTTAGTCATAATTGCACAATATGAAAATCCGTACCTATTGTGAAATAAACGTTAAAAACTAGTATTCCTAAAAAAAAAAGGGGTTAAAAACTAGCATATTAATTGAGTGCAATATTGACAGAAAAAATGAAAATTAAAATATGAAAATCTAGATTCGTAAAATTTGAAGAGAAAAAAAATAGGCACCAGTAAAATATCATAATAATTTGACCTACTTGAGATAATTTTTCTTTTTTTTAAAAAAAAATTTTTACACTCAACTCTTATTACAATTTAATCCAAATTGTTTATATTAGTTTTTTTTTTAATTTTACAAAATTCAAGACATCGACTCAACTTGGTATTAATACTAACTTTTTTCATGGTTAATATTATACTTTTTCATGGTTAATATTATAGTTTTTAATTATAAGTTTTAGGGGTAAGTTAATTTGAAATAACTATTGTAGTAGTTATTTTGTATATATATAATTTAAAAGTAGTTTATTTTTAGGATCAGGAAGAGAAACAAGAAATTTGATTTCCTAATTTTTTTTAGGATAATTTCCAAGAAACTTGATATATATTTTATCAATATTTTTATAGATATTTTTATAAAATTGAGATATTGATGTAGACACCATATTTGGTCCGGTCCAAATATTATTATTATTTTTATTAATTCATTTATTATTATCATTATTTTATTAAATTTTATTTTAATAAAAATACAAATTAAAAAATAAAGATTTTATTTAAACAAACGTTTTGATATTAACCGTTTTTTTTTTCTGTTTGATTTTTTCTTGGTCAAGGTTCTACGAGACACATGGGCACATAGGGCGGGAGAAAATACTCACCCCTTAGAAAATTCAGTTTTATTCCTCTATCTTAGAAATGATCACCTTCTCCTTCATCTTCTACCTCTCACCACTCACTCTTTCTCCTTCTTCATCTTCTACCTTTCAACACTCCCTCTTTCTCTCTCTACAATAAACTCCAGTAACCCGCAAGACCGACGAACATACACGACCAACCCACACGAAGCCTCGATGACCTTTACAACCAAGCAAAACCCCGACGAAGCAAGAGTCATAGATCGCTGATGGTAGACGATAAAGTCTGATACTGTTAAAGTTTTCTTTAAAAAAATGTTTAAAATATCTTACGTAAGATACTTTTCTTTCTTTTTTTTACAAAATTATTTTTTAAAAAAACAAAATGATTTGTTTTAAATAAACAAAACTTTTCAAAATAAAACAAAACCTTTAAAATATGTTTAAATACGTTTTTGAAAAATAGTAAATGATTTTGATAAATGTTTTCTTTTCTTTTATAAAAAGAGCTTTTTTTCCTTTAGGTAAATAAAAGTTGATTTTAAAAAAAGGAAATATTTTGTTTTAAACCATGTTTTTTTTAATACAAAATAAATAAAACGGTTTTTTTTAAAATAACTTTTTTTAAAAGTAAATTTCTTTTTGAAAAAGAGTAAAGATTTTGTAAATGGATTTAAAATAAAATTCTTTGAATTAGTAAAAACTAAGTTTAAAAGAAAAAAAAATCTTTTTAGCTATAAAATTCAAGTTTTAGAAAAATAAATAAAGGAATACAATCTTTTAAATAAATTTGTTAATTATAGTTGTTGGAAAGAATCTCAACAAATAAATTTGTTTTAAATAAATTTGATTTATTTTGTTAAATTTTGAAATAAAAATCTTTCTTTTACATTAAAAATTTTGATTTTGTAAAAGAAAACAGTGTTTGTATCTTAGGTGTTGCGTAGTGGTAAAATACTTGGAAATAAATTTTTATGACCCAAGTTCGAATCCTTGCATGCCTCAAAATAAAGTTGTTTTATTTTATTTTATTTTTTATCTTTGTTTTTAATAAATAAAAAAAAATCTTTTAAATAAAATTATTTAGAGTTTTATTTAAGCAAAGCTTAAAGATAAAGTTTGTATTTAAAAAAAAAGAAGGTTAAGTTGCATCCTAAAGTTTTGGCACATTAGTAAGGTGGAGTTGAGGGACCGAACTCATACAACCTCTTAGTTGAAGATATATATTAATAAATCTCCACTGAGCTATATACTCATTTTTGTCAAGACAACACATTAAACCTCATATGCTTCCCCATCGTACAAATAGATATAATAGATCAATGTTTTAAATGTCGATGTTGATGAAAATTTTGAGGTCTCAATTTCATGGAAATATCGATAAAATGTCGATATCGATGAATATTTCTGTAAAATTTAGAAAAATAAAAAAAAATCGTAAAAAATATTTAAATGAACAAATAAATATTTTCCTATTTTTAAATTAGTTAAAAATAATTAATTTTAATATTATGTATATATTAGTGACATTTTGTTGATATTTTTCATATTTTGTCGATTGTTTTTACGAGGATGGAAATGTCTATTTATCTCTTATGTCGATATCAAACCCATGGAAACATAGAAATGTCGATAGAAATGTGGTCAACGGATATTTAAAAGGGATTAGTACATAGATAGTCTATTTAGAAATCATAATTACGTAAAAGGATTTACGCTTTTGTCATGAAACAATCCTAATTAGATAGTACCCATAACATAAATTACTAGTATATCCTTAGGATCCATCTCAATATTAAATAATTATTAAAATTTAGAATTTGTAAATTGGGAGGTCAAATCGTTAAGATGTGCTAATGATACTTCCCAAAATTAAAAAATCCCAAAACCTCAAAAACCCATCTAGTTTTGAAACTCACCCCTTCTTCTTCCTCGTTTTTCTTTTCTTCCTCCGACCCTTCGTTCCTTTTCTCCGACAGTCTACCTTCCTCTCTAGCCGGCTCC